CGGGCCCAGGGCGGCGGCCGCGCAGGAGCTTTCCGCGGGGGGGTCTCGCCCGGGGCCTTCCTGCTGCTTCCACAGGGCCTCCTGAGAAAGACCAAAGGGGGGCTAGTTAGTCCATGATGCTTACAGAGGACCCCTCCAGAAAGCAGAGGAGAGCCAGTAAGAACAGAACCTGGGGCCCTCGCTGGTTTGGCTCAGCGGTCAGAGCGCCCGTGGGCGGACTGAAGGGTCCCGGGTTCGACGCTGGCCAAGGGCACGGACTTCGGTGGCAGGCTCCATCCCCAGCCCCAGTCAGGGTACCTGCAGGAGGCAACCAATCAACGTGTCTCTCTCTCATCGATGTTTCTCTCTCTCTCTCTCTGAAAAGCAATGGGAGAAATATCCTTGGGTGAGAATTTAAAAAAAAAGAACTTTGCAGAACCAGCCCCCCAAATAATCTCAGTGCCCAAACACTGCTGATGGGGGTGAACAGGGGCATGACTACTCGGAGGGGGGGGCAAACTGATCCCAGGGCTCACAGTCCTTTAAAACACATGTCCTTTCTCCAATCACATTTCTAATGACCTATCCTAAGTGAGTAATTTGAAATGTGGATAAATATGCACATACAAAGATGTTCCCTGTAAAAATATTTATAAGCTAAAGACATTAAACAACATGAACATTCAACAATATGGGACTCTTTAAATAAATTATTGACCATTTTTTACAGGCACCAAAAATTATGTTCCAAAATATTTAATGTCCTGTGAAACTGTTCTTGATACAGTGTTAGTGAAAAAAGAAAGATAAAACTGTAGTGATGGGATTCTGACTAGGTTAAAATCCATTCACATAGGAAGAAGTCTGGAAGGAAATGTTTGCTACGAAAGTATGGTTTTCTCAGGATAGAGTCATGATGGGTGATTTAACTTTCCTTCTTTATATAGTTTAATTTATTTATCCATTTTTCTACTTTGAGCCTATATTAACGTGTAATCAGAGAAAAGCTGTAAGTTGTGGGTCTTGGCTGGCAGTGGTGATTCAAGCGCGGAGGTTATTTGCTAAGAGCTGCCAGAGGGGGCACTATAACAAGCCTGTTGCTCATCACTTAGCTGACATCCAAGGGCCTGAGGAAAGGACTTGGAAATCTCAGCAAAGTTGGCCCCAGACCATGCATCCCTACAAACAGCACCCTGTGGTCATGTGTGGGGGGTGAAGGGGTGGGGGGTAGGGGATAGGACAATGGGGACCATCGGGAGACAACCTGTAACTTTTGCATGGCTGAGCATATAGTCCCATCCCTGGCATATGGGAAAGCTCTTCTGGGCTTCTCATGAGAAGCCAGCACAGCCACTTACTTACCTGGGAGCTGGCATCTGGTGGGACATACCCCAGAGCTGAACAGGCCAAGGCAAAGGGACTTTCACATCAGGGAGCAGGGCCCTTTTCTTCATCTGTGAGTCTCAGTCCTTCTGGGGCCAGAAATTTGGCCTAATGTAGAGGAACCCTTGAAAACCTTTTCCTATCCAGAGCCCTTCCCTGTTTCACCAGCCCTTTCAAGGCAAAATGTACCTCTCTTTGTTGCTTCAACTCTGCCCGTCTCTTCCGTTGCTGACTATTGGTTTTACAGTGAATGAAATGAGGCTTGCAGAAAAACTTGCCTGTAAAAGAAACACACGCACACACACAAAGGTTTTTCTCCTGTAAGACAGGGCCCCAGCACACCTGAGCCAAGTGCCCGCCACTGTCTAGGTCAGAAAACACCAGAAATGGAAACAAACCCAGGGCAGCTCACACTTAGGAAAGGTTTCTGTCACCTTCCTTACGGTGGCACTGAGATAAGGCTCAGGACCCTTTGCTGACTCAGAGGCAGGCTGCAGAAACAGGGGCTCCCAGGGATGGGGCTGAAACCCTCAGACAATTCCCAAACCAAACGAAAGCTAAGTCTCCTCCCAAGACCAGTTGTCAGGCAGCAAAATGGACAGTAACACCATTTCCAGCCCCTCCTCTTTTCCAGGACCCCAGGGGTGGGAAAGGCCAGGAGCAGATGGCAGCAGTGATAGGCAGGAAAAGCCCAGGCCCGACATACACTGGGCCATAGGCCACTGTCCAGGACCTTTGGGTGTTTTCCAGAAAAGCCTTCTCTGCTTGCCATTACATCAGCAACAGTAATGATGGGAATAATGATAATAGGAATTTTTTTTTTGTAGGACTCGCAATATACCAGACACTATTCTAAATGCTCCCAGTAAATTGACCCATCAACCCTCACAGCAACCTCATGTGCTAAGTACTATTAAGATGGGGAAACTAAGGGACCAGGAGGCGAGGGAACAGGACTAAGGTTACAGGGCTAGTAAGTGCTATGGTCTAGATCTGAACCTGGCACTTGAATTTGCCGGTCCGAAATCACGAGCGCTGTGCTACACTGCCTCTCATTATATCCGACAGTGCAAATGTGAAGGACTAAAAATTAGAAAATAATCACTTGTGCCCTGGCTGGTATGGCTCAGTGGTTAGAGTGTCGGCCCATGCACTGAAGGGTCTCAAGTTTGATTCCCAGTCAAGGGCACGTACCTGGGTGGCAGGTTTGATCCCTGGCCCTGGTCAGGGCACATTTGGGAGGCAACCAATCAATGTGTCTCTCTCATATCAATGTTTCCCTCTCTCCTTCTCTCTCTCACTCCCTCCTTTCCACTCTCTCAAAAAAAAAAAAAAAAAAAAAAA